ACTGTACGAACACAGTGTTTTATATTAATAACTTACTTATATTAATGCTTTTGGCGGTATATCTGAATATAACAGGGGTTTTCATATATATATATATATTAATTCGTAATATCTAGTGTTAACTGTATTTTGAGGAGAAACTCTGTCATTTACACTACTGGTCTTCCTTTGGTTCGAGCTCGGAAGTGTATGTGTATGTTTCTAAAGAAGTGGTTCTATTCTGGCCCTTTGTTATGATTGGAAATGTTAACCATATTTAAAACCTACGAAAGAAACTTATGTTATTGTTTTGTATCATTCATGAAAGATGATGATTTTATGAAAATTTATTAATTGTGTTTTATTCTCTTCAATCAAGACGTTACAATACCGACGGACTGTTCTGAAGCTGTACATATAGTTCCACAAGGTGAGTATTGTATGCCGGTATGTAACTTAATATAGAAAACAGTTTATTGCAAATAATGACTTTCAATGAGAACGACTGCATGTTAAAGGCTACAGGCAGCGCAAAAAATCAAATTTCATGTAAAAATGATAGAGTATGTCTAAAAAGGATAGTAAATGATGTTTGTTTACTTCTTGAATGGGAGTCATTTCTTTTATGCAAATTAAGAGATAATCATTGTCGATTTTTCGTAACGTCAGGCATGCCATGTTAAACGTTACGTATACATTTTATCGAATTCATATAACCATATCTAGATGAATAATGAACAGATATAAACCAAGTCCTTAAACACCATCTTTTATTGTTTCCGTTGGTCTGTTAACCTTACTGCTGTTTCTTAAACTCTGATATAGTGTTAGTGATGTGACCTAACGGTGTGAAAATTTTACAAGCAAATTATAGATGAATAAGTTGTCAAAACCTGTATAGTAGTGGGAAAATCACCTAAGCTGCATTATAAAAGGCTAATATTACAAATAAGCCTTTAGTTTGATAATTTAAAGTACCCTCTTATGTAGGGTTTATTACAATTATATCGTTAAAAATATTCAAAAGTTATCTGTTATGTAAACGACATCGTTGAAATAAGCTGTTAGGTATTCTCTAAAGTAGGTCGTAATGTTGATAGAGTCGTCGCTTTTCCGCTTGATTTCTGGCCGAAAACAAAACTAAGGCACGGTAGTCTAGTGGTAGGACGCCGGGCTCGTGACCGAAGGGTTGCGGGTTCGAGTCACGTCACGACACTGTGTCGTATCTTTGAACAAGAAATTTTACTCGTTCCAGTCTACTCAGCTGTAAATGAGTACGTGGTTGGGCAGTGCTAGAATTGTTGAATGCTAGCTGTGAACGCCGAAATGGCAGCACCGGCTGTATGCCCCTAAGGGATTTGAGAAAGATATCGGCTGACTGCAAATTAAAGACACAATAACCACGGATAAAAATTTGTGAATCGCTTTGAGACGACCTACGAAAAAGGTTGTGATAAAGCGGTATATAAAAACCTCGAATTATTATTATTATTAAAACTAAAATAAAACCTATGTGTTACTTAAAGTTTATAGTAAAACAGATGTTACTGATTAATTAGGCGGTAGATAATGTACTTGACCGCCACATTACATTTCATACTGGAAAGAGTTGTGGTCTTGTAACGAATTTTCCTCATTTGATGTGTAACTTAATCTCAAATTTGGCTACCAAATGATAATTTCTAATTTTTTAACAAATCACTCATTTAGAAAAACAAAGATTTTTTTAATTGAAAGCCATTTTTTCTCAAATCTAAATATGCTACAATAATTTGTTATTTCAGAAATGTCTCATCTTTTTTTTATTAAAATCGTTTATTTATAATTGGATCATTTGAGCAACAACGCTTCCATATTTTTATCTTAAAGGAAGCGAACATTTTGCACCTATAACAAACGCACCAACAGCCCCTGCAGGAATATCGACAACCTCAAGTAGACTCGCAACCTTAAACATGCATACGACTCCAAGTACTACGACAGTGCCAACGACATCGACGATGAAGCCGCTTTCGCGTAAGTAGTAGACGCCCAACCGCGCGTGAAAGGTATAAATGTTTTTTAACACTTAAAATGCATGTGAACTATTATAAGGGAATTATGATGCGGCGTGAACAATAAAAATGATTGCCTTTGAAAATTATCATTCCTCACGAATTATTTACTATATAATCCAATGAATGCTTTAGACCTGCCGACATGTCGAGATGATATCATCTTTTCCTTGACTCTTAATGAGTCAGTGGAACACTATGGCGCCAAAAGATGCCCGGATGGGTTACCCGTTTCCGCGGAGGCGGTGGTAATGGAGTACTGCGGAATCCCGGTGATGTCACAGTGGAAACAGGGCGTCAAGGTTCGTACAAAACACTCACAATACTTTCTCTTCTCTATATGGAGAACAAAATTGCAATCGTATTTAGGTACTTATTTAAGTCAAGGTTTCAAAATGATTACAAAACAGTACACATTGAAAATATTATAAATACTCAGGTATAATTGAATAACTGTCCCATGTTTCATGATCGCGTTACATGTAATCCCTAGACTGTTGCCAACATGACTTGTATATCAATCTGATTTCATGTACCTGTTTCATGTTAGCTATACTTTGTCAAAGTGGAACTTCAGTAATGGGTCTCTCTGAAGTAGTATTCGTGCCATTCTTTAGGAATTATAAAACAAATAATGTGTGGTACGTAGGAGAAAAAAAGACGTATGTACGAGAAAAAAAGAACAAACTAGAAAAATACATCGATGTACATGTATGCACGAGATAAAAAGCTAAGAATGGAAATGTCGCACGTTCGAGATAAAAAAAAAAACTCGTTCAAAAGATTTAAAAAGTCGTTCGAACGAGATACAAAGTCGTACGTACAAATATGAATAAATTGTCAAAGGTGTTCTTTATCTGTTTTTTCCCTTTTTTACCAAAACTTATCTCAAATTTATTAGCAAGGGGTTGAAGTAATGGGATATAAGAATAAGCCTTGAGCAGTCTTTTCCGGTTTTACCTGGCAAGTGTTACTACATTTGATACTGCTGTGTCGCTGGTGACCATTCTGATTTAATATATAAAAAAAATCAAAATGAAATATTGAAACGACTCCATGTGAATTACTAAAAGCTGATAGCCTGCTGATGAGACGGACCATCATGTATGTGTGGATGGATGACCGTAAATCAATTTCACAAGGATCGAAGATGATATCAAAACAAATTCGTATTTTTTTGCGAGATCTACATGTAGTCATAGTGTTCTGTTTATAGTATGTTATATGTTATACGTCTGAGATGAACATTACTTTTGTTATTTGTATTGTTACGTCTGAGATGAAAATCACTTTTGTTATTTGTATTGTTACGTCTGAGATGAACATTACCTTTGTTATTTGTATTGTTACGTCTGAGATGAACATTACTTTTGTTATTTGAATTGTTACGTCTGAGATGAACATTACTTTTGTTATTTATTTTGTTACGTCTGAGATGAACATAACGTTTTTAATTTGTTTCGTTACGTCTGAGATGAATATAACTTGTCGCAAGTCAAACTGAAGTCATGAAAAGTCCGCAGGGTTGTTCGTTGGTGATTCCATTTATTATACTACTGCACCAAATCTGCTGACACATATATATCCAGGTGATTTGTTGAAATTGGCATCTGTACGTGAATGTTGTTAAATGTATAGTTATGATACTTCAGTTTTTGTTAATAACAATAAATTTACTTCTAAGGGAGTAAGTGTTACAATAAACTGAAACAGATGTGTATGATAATATATCACCTCAGCACACTTCAATATCTACTTGTAAGGCAGAAGGATAAACAACATTACACCCACTTTTTGTTTGCTATAAATCAAGTCTGCCTATTCGCTTTTGATTTTAAGGTATGTGGTCACCTGCCCAACCACATGCATTTTCTGCGGGAACTACATTAAGACCCCTATTATTTGACAGGGGACTCGGTATCAGCTCGAGAGACCGACATCACGACCCATATTTATGAAGCCGTTATCGTGCTCTAGCCTTGAATTTGTGCTTCAGCGAACTTTCTTGTAACTCGCTTAAATATTTGACACAGTCAAAAACAAGTTTATACAATGAAAGCAGTAGCCGCCATGTTATAGTTATTGAATGTCTAGACGAGTGTATCACGAGAATTTTCGGTATGCGGTTACGAGTTCGCGATGCGAACGAGTTAACGCCCACCGAAATATCGAGTGTACACGAGTATATAGTCATTCAATAAATGCCTTGCATCATGGTCCGTCAATCAAATGTCACTAAACTTCAGAATTGTCTTGTGTTCCTGTGTACATTTCCCGCCAAAAACAATCAACCATCAATGAGGAGTACATTTCCCGCCAAAAAAACCAACAATCAATTAGAAGTTCAAGCCTTACCACACTTCCTGCCTTTAGTTTCTCACCATTTCCATTTGACTTTTGAAAACAGCAGGATGACAACACTGTCATCTAGTTCCACTATCAATTTGAAAGTCACGGATTTCCTATATTTTCAAGAAGACGATTTTGATGACATTGTGTTATATCAAGCATGCCAGGTATAGAAAACGAAGTGAAAGCTTTTGATGGGATTACCGAGCTGTCGCTGACTCAGTGTGTTTGTAAATAAGATGTACCTTTCGCTTGGTTAAGCAGACTGTCTGAAAGTGACACAGAAATGGACACTGGGCTGAATGGACACGGGACATTTGAATTAGAATTACCAGAAACTGTGAACCTCCCAAGTTCGAGAACAAACGTTTTTGGGAAGCAGTATCTACACCGGGAAAGAAAGAGCTTATTGGATAGCAGGAATATGTGAACACTAAAAAGAATACAGTTCTGGCGAGGCCTGTATTTGGAAGTTTGCTCCAAAATGGAAAAATGGCTGGTGGTGAAGTGATCCCGGAATTTCTTGAAATGACTGGTTAAGAAATGAACTACTTCCTGTCAAGATTCGTTATGGAAACGAGGAAGAAAGACGGGACTCCTTACCCTCCACGTTCTCTAGATCTATACCTAATCATCTGTGGACTTCTTCGTCATTTGAGAGAATGCAATGTAAATGACAAGAACCTATTTAACAGTTTCCGGAAAGTGTTGGATGCAAGAATGAAAGAGCTTCTCTCTAGCGGACTTGGTACAAACGTTTAACAGGCCCGAGGACGAAGCAATATTATGGGAAAGTGGTGTTTTTGGTGCGGACACGGCCGAGTCGTTCCAGTGCACCATGTTTTTCTATGCATGTAAACCTTTTTGGGCTTCGTGGACACGATGAACATCATGATCTTAAATGTGAGCAATGTGCTGTCTATACTGACCAGCACGGGTACAAAATTAGCGTGAACTACTATTTCTGAATTCAATTATAATTAGTTTATTATTTTGCAAAGAATAATTTTGTTGTCATTGAACGTTTAAGCCGATGTTTGTTAAGAGTTTAGAATTCTAAGGGAATTATAGGTTGCATTGTAATGTAAATAAATATATATAGGTTTTTTTGAGATCCGAATTGTATTGGACATTTCAAAAAACTTCTTTAGTAAAACCTTTCTAACCCATCCATTGTAGAATATGACGACCTAATGGTCAATCCACAGGGGCTTGACACGTTGCTATGACCCAGAATGAAATATTTAACCCCAGGGTCCGACCCAAATATCATTTAGGGGTCGGAACTGTAAAGTTTTCTTTAAAAGTAAATGCATCCTTAATAATACTTTCATGTGTACACATAATATTGTGATGTCATGGATCTTTGTGTTGGCCTCGTGTTATCAAAACAGTGATGGCCGCTCCATAGTCCCGAAGTTTCAGTGTGTTGTTTGTGACCTGCGTAGCCATGTATTCCCCTTAAAGCCGACGTCTAAACGTTACATGGTACCAGAAGTGGTACGACTTTGTGTTGAACTGATCGAACCACAATAGAAACGAATAATAGCTGAGAACAACGCTCTTGTTATGCCGCATGTTCAAACCCAAGTAAACAACATACCATTCCCGCCAAAGCTTGACATAGAAGAGAACTTGTCACAGTCATGGAAAAGGTTTAAAAGGGTTTGGGATAACTACGAAATTGCTACCGGTCTTGACAAGAAAGAGAAAATTCTACGAACAGCAACATTCCTAACGTGTGTTGGGCCTGATGCCGTTGAAATATTTGAGGAATTTGGATTTGAAAACGACGATGACAAAGATGTCGCGAAAGTTATTGACAAATTCGAGAAGTATTGCGTGGGGAAAACAAACGAAACGTATGAAAGATACTTGTTCAATAAACGAGACCAAGAGACAGGTGAGACCATTGATGCGTATGTATATTCGTTGAGATCTCTATCGAAAACGTGCAACTATGCAACGCTCGAGGACAGTTTAGTTCGCGATAGGATGATTATAGGCATTCGCGACAACAATACAAGAAAGAAACTGTTACAAGATTCCAAACTCTCCTTGACAACCTGTTTAGACATATGTCGCGCAGTAGAGAAAACCAACAAACAAATAAAAAAAATATCTCAGGAGGATGTGCAGTACATTTGGAGGAAGGACAGTAGGTCTAACAGTAATAAACCACCTAATAGACACGGACATGAAAGTCAGCGCCGCGATAAAAGTGCTAAGGAGTGTAAGTTCTGTGGTGGAATTCACCCATACAAAAAGGTGATGTGCCCTGCATGGGGAAAGAAGTGTAACAAATGCCATCGTACCAACCATTTTGAGGCCAAATGTAAATCAGGGGAGATAACTCAAAACAAAGATAGAGGGACTCCTCACAAGCGTAGAGTACACTATGTGAATGAGGACAAAGATGATTCTTATTTGCTGTAGAAACTGAAACGCGAAAGGAAAAAAAATCAATGCACTAGTGACAATGAATGGAAGAAATGTAGATTTCCAATTAGATTGTGGAGTCACCGTAAATGTTCTACCCGCTCCACTGTACAGAAGATTGTACAAGGACCCTAAGATGGAAAATATAGAGGAGTGTCGAAAGACTCTGGTCATGTTTAATAAATCACAAACAAAGCCAGCTGGGAGCAAATGTATAAAACTAATGAATCCGCAGAACCGGAGCAAATATGAGTTTGAGTTTGTGATTGTCAACGCAGATGTTTATCCGATTCTTGGAGCAATCGCGATACAGGAGATGAACTATATTACTGTAAATAGAAAAGTCATTAGAAATGGAGAAGGGCTTGTGAATCAAGTAAGTGACAGGAAGACACATACTACAAAGTCCGACATTATTGAGAGCTACCCTGAAGTCTTTGATGGAGAAGGAAAACTTAGAGATTGACGAGAATGTACATCCTACAAAGATACCCACAAGGAAA